AAATTTATAACCCATTAGTGGGTTGTGAAATTAATTCAGTAAGTCAATCATCACTTTTAAAATGAATTAGAACAGGGGTGCCTGGGTGGTTCAGTCGTTAAGCATCTGCCTTCAGCTCAGGTCATGATCCCAGGGTCCTGGGATCGAGCCCCGCATCGGGCTCCCTGCTCAGCGAGAAGCCTGCTTCTCCCTCTCCCACTTCCCCTGCTTGTGTTCCCTCTCTCTCTGTGTCTCTGTCAAATAAATAAATAAAATCTTTAAAAAATAAATAAAATAAAATGAATTAGAACAGAGAGGGATAGAAAGTAATAGATACACTGCACAGTACAATTTTTCATGAACCTCCATTCATGCACACACACATACATAGTCCATGATGTTAAATGTATTTTTAACTGTGGAATGTGAACAAAATAATTTTTAAATCACTACTCTAATCTACACTGCACTATAATTACTTTTAGTTTTGCTTTTAAAAGTAAGAGATTCCAATCTACCTTTATTTTAAAACAAAGGCATGGCAAACGCGGACAGCTAATGAAAATATTCCATTAAAATGCTCTTTAAAATACCACTATTATCATGCATGAAGAATGATCACTCTTATATTAATGAAATCTAAATGCTCTGCTTTCTTACAACTCACTATAATATTTGAGCTAGAGAGAAATATAACAACAGAAAACAGAAGAGAATTCAAAGTCACCGAAATAATTTTATAATGTGGAATATTACTGATTCTTAGGTGATCTATTTTTTTTTTTTAAAGATTTTATTTATTTATTCATGAGAGAGAGAGAATGGCAGAGCGAGAAGCAGGCTCCCAAGGAGCAGGGAGCCTGATGCGGGACTCGATCCCAGGACCCTGAGATCATGACCTGAGCCGAAGGCAGACGCTTAACCATCTGAGCCACCCAGGCGCCCTTAGGTGATCTATTTTTTAAATTTCACATAACTTCCACTAATTTCTAAATTTCTGCTCTACAAAGATATTTGAACAGAAGGAGCCGTCCTAGGCACCTTTGGAATAGCAGGTGAAGCCAACTTGGAAAAAAAGTTGCAACATAAAATACACGAACAAGAAAATATATACATAGTGGACCAAGAGAGGTAGCTTTCTTCCACTGACCTTCCAGGATACACTTTACAAGCTACACTGCAGTGTGGAAAAATTGGGCAAGAAGCTAAAACTTTGATGCTCTTTTACTAAGGGCCTAAATTTAGCCCATTTTTTTTTAACCTAGCTAAGGTACATACGCACATTGCTTTAAATGCTTACCCAACAATTCATTTTACATAAAATAAAAACAAAAACTTCTATAGAAACAAGTTCCATTATACTCTCTTCATGATAAAGCTTCACTTCCTAAAAGTTATAAAAATCAAATTCATAAGCCATCCATCTAAGTTTTAAAACCACCACTACCATCCAAAGTGATGTAAAAAAGAATGAATATTAATATACGGGTATTTAAAGCCAGAAAAGGTATTTGCTGAAATACACATAAACACTATATTCACGTGCATGTATGTGTTTGTGTGTTTCTGAAAACATACACTGTTTTTGGAGAGATGAGGGGATGGGAAGAATAGGGGAGACAACAGGGCAAAAGAGGACTTTATATATCTGTTCATAGTGTGGTTTTTGAACTGTTACCTATTTGGGCAAATCAGGGCTTCTCATTCTCGTCCCCCCTCCTGAATTGCCTTGCTTCTGCATTCTATTCCATGCACTTCCACAACCCCTCCTTGGTACCCTCATCACACTAGGGAACCTACAGAGTGCAGACATTTCCTGAGTGCCTGCTATGTATAGGCCAGCTGCTATTCCGGGCATGGGACACAAACGTAAGTAGGATAAGGTACCTGCCTTCAGGGAGCTTGCAACCTCAGAGGAAGACAGAAGAGGAAACAGGTCACTTCCAAATAATATGGTACATATATTGGCAGAAGTATAATGTAACATAACCTACCGCATTGTATTTCAACTATTTTTCCCTCTCTCTTCCCACATCTCTCAAAGGTGCAAACCTCTGACATACACGCTAGGCCCACAGTGATCTTTGGATCCTGTGCTGAGAAAGGATCCCATATGATGTAAACTTCATAAGTATCTCCTGAATAGTAAATGCAACAGTATTTTAAGAAACATGTTCATATATGTCTTAATGTTTCAAAATGGTGATTGATATATATGCCAACTATTAACCTGGACCCCTGTAGTGTATTATAATCTTAGAATTTCAAAACAAATATCTTTGGGCGCCTGGGTGGCTCAGTTGGTTAAGCGACTGCCTTCGGCTCGGGTCATGATCCTGGAGTCCCTGGATCGAGTCCCGCATCGGGCTCCCTGCTCGGCGGGGAGTCTGCTTCTCCTTCTGACCCTCCCCCCTCTCATGTGCTCTCTCTCTCTCCTCTCATCCTCTCTCTCAAATAAAAAAACAAACAAACAAACAAAAAACAAGTATCTTTAACCTCAGAAGCCCTATGATCTTTCAGTCCTTAACATGTAGTCTTGGCTTTTATTCCATAAAGGGGGGAAATAATGAAAGCTAAGCCTACCTGTTTCTTCTCCTGGAAATCAAAGCATCCTTGCTTGTTTTTACTGGTAAGACTGAAAACTTTCACCCACTAATTTAAAATTTCTATTCATAGTTAATACATTAGTAATTTCTTGCAATTTTCAGGAAGATGATAATTCTCACTTTGACACAGGTTTGCCAATATTATTTAAAGACTTCTTAGAGTTCAAGCCTTGAACTTCTAGGTAAGAAAAATAATATTCTCACCTTTCCCTGAGCTCTATCCAAAATAAATGATAGAAATGAATTGCAAAGATAACATGAAGCATTGTTGTAATTAATCAACCCAGAGCCCAAAGGAGGAATCATTTCTATTTTTAAATACACTGCTGCTTTAAGGGGAAAACCTGGTGGAGAAATATGAAACCAGACTACATAACGAAAATCAAAAGGCATTTGGTGTCTCCATTCTTGCAAAGACAGTAATCCTAACCTACAAGCAGCACTGCTGGATAGACTCCAGTCAAGTTTTCTGTAAACTGAGTGACCAGTACCCAGGTAGAAGCCCACAGAAAGGGTCCATCCACCAAAGAATCCTATCTGTCAGGGGGACAAAACAAGAGAACTCCCATGTTTCAATGCTATTCTTAGTTTCAGATAAGGGGCTATTCCAATAAGCCAGCAGATGGATAAATCCCCAAGTCACCCTACAAGTCTTTACTTAAAAGATCCCGATTCGTAACTGCAGTGGTGGCCCTAAAAATGATCAACTAATTATTTAGCATTTCTAACCACCTATCTACAGTTATCATTTCTTATCCAGGTTCCACAAAATTAAATGTTTCTCTCCACAAATCGGAAAGCTTCATTTCATTAAACAGTAAGCTAACTGCAGCACTCCCTATGGTTAAGAGTGACAAGGAGCAGGTGCCAAACCAGCAAGGAAAAACAGAAGCAGTGGCTACATTAACAGGAGCTCATATTCTACCTGTTTCCCAGGCTGCTTTGAAGAATCTGGCCCAGCAGAATTTGCAGAGGAAACAATAAAAAAATAACCAGTTTCAGAAAAACTGTTGATGATGTGGACATCTAATTTAATCTGTAAATACTGAAATTTACTCAGTTCACTAGCACCATGAAATATACAACTACACCACTAGAAATGTATCTAAAATACTGTAAGTCTTTAAAATGTATCTAAAAATATTATCCAAGGATACATCTATTACTGAAAAGTGTTTAACACAACATTTTAAATATAACTTTAGCTATTTACTATCACCCTATCTGCTATAGGTAGCAGAATGTTTGCAAACTGAATAAAAATTTCCACCCTCAGCACAAAAAGCAAAGGACTCCCAATCTTACCTCCTGACAACTTCTTCCCCTGAATTTAGCAAAATTGTGCCTGAACACCACATGATTATAGAATAGGGGCAACTGCGTCCTTTAGCAATAAAATAACCCTACTTCAGCCTCTATCCAGTGAAAAAATCTCCCAAGAGCAAAAAATCACTAAATTGTAGTGCATCAATCAACAGGTGACTTTTAGAAACACACTCATACTCATGTCCCAGAGGAATTAATTCTGTCAAATCTGCCAGTTTTTTTTTTTTTTTCTTTTCTATTTTTACAAGCTACTGCATTGCTATACTGAATGAATTCCAACCGTTTTCTTCTCAGGGGCTTACCAGAAAAATGCCAAATATTCAAATTATTTTAAGGCATTTTCCCATACTGCTGCGTGGAATAGAGCAGAATTAATAAGGATCCAAGAGTTACCACTTTTCAAATGCAAATATGTTGCCATCTAGTAAATGCAGCCCCTTTTTAAACATCCCCCCAGTGTCTACACAGCTCAGGGCACCACTTTTGTTTCCTTGAAAATCAAAATTCGCGCATTACATTCAGGCATTATCTCGACCCGGCACCAACAAAATAATAGATTTTAAATGGTCCACGCCTGAGCCTGCATCATACAATACTGTTCTGCTTTATTATGAGGGTTCCCCCCTCCCCCCATTTTACAAAGTCCCTAAACAATTCCGCCAAATAAAGCAAAGTGTGCAGCGGTAGAAAAAAACGAGGGGGCACTGGGTTCCACGGAAACAAGGCCTTGGGGTGGTCCCTTGCCCGCCTGAGGCCTGTCTTCTTATCTGCAAAATGTGGGGCTGCTCGTCTCTGGGGTCCCATCCGGCCCCCTCTCTCCGGGTGCCCCGAAGCCGGCCAGGTACGCGGAGGACTGGTGCCGGCTGCGGCGCGGGTGCCCGGGCTGATGCCGCTCTAGACGGGAGGGGACAAGGAGGGGGGCGGCGGGAGCAGAGGAACTTGGACTTGCCGCAGCTTCAGACAGGAGCGTGCGGCAAACGTGAAGCCGTCCTCCTAACAATAGGGAAGAGTACTCCCATTTTCCGGGCTCAAACTTGCCGGGGACTGCGGGGTGGGCTCCTCCTGCCGCCCTCTCGGCGCCCGCTTTACCTTTCTCCCTGTTTGGTGTTAGCAGGAGGAGGGTGCAGGACCGTCTGATTGCCTTCCATCTCCACCACGCACTTGGTGTTCAGTTCCAGTTCTGAAAGCAGAAGGGGAGAGGGCCGTTGCCGAGGCGAGCACCCGCGCCTCCAGCCCCCGGGCGCGGGGCTCGCGCGGGGCTGGCCGGGGGGGGGGGGGCCAGCCGGGAGCCGCGAGCCGCGCGCCGCGCCTCCAGCCCCCGGGCGCGGGGCTCACGCGGGGCTGGCCGGGGGGGGGGGGGCCAGCCGGGAGCCGCGAGCCGCGCGCCGCGCCTCCAGCCCCCGGGCGCGGGGCTCGCGCGGGGCTGGCCGGGGGGGGGGGGGCCAGCCGGGAGCCGCGAGCCGCGCGCCGCGCCTCCAGCCCCCGGGCGCGGGGCTCGCGCGGGGCTGGCCGGGGGGGGGGGGGCCAGCCGGGAGCCGCGAGCCGCGCGCCGCGCCTCCAGCCCCCGGGCGCGGGGCTCGCGCGGGGCTGGCCGGGGGGGGGGGGGGCAGCCGGGAGCCGCGAGCCGCGCGCCGCGCCTCCAGCCCCCGGGCGCGGGGCTCGCGCGGGGCTGGCCGGGGGGGGGGGGGGGGCCAGCCGGGAGCCGCGAGCCGCGCGCCGCGCCTCCAGCCCCCGGGCGCGGGGCTCGCGCGGGGCTGGCCGGGGGGGGGGGGGGGGGCCAGCCGGGAGCCGCGAGCCGCGCGCCGCGCCTCCAGCCCCCGGGCGCGGGGCTCGCGCGGGGCTGGCCGGGGGGGGGGGGGCCAGCCGGGAGCCGCGAGCCGCGCGCCGCGCGCCGGGGGCTCGGCGCCCAGTGCGCCGCCGCCGCCGCCGCCGCCCAGGCCCCGCGGCCCCGCCGCGCTCTCGCCGCCCCGACCCCGCGGCCCCGCACTTGGCAAAGTTGCCCCCGCCCTCGGCCCGACCACAGACAGAAACGAGCGGAAAGCTCCTCACCTCGCCGGTTCATGGGCCGGACGCGGACGGCAACTTTTACCTTGGTATCCGACATGTTGGCGGCGCCCGCTCGGCCCGAGGCGGCCCCTCACGCGCCGCGCCGCCGCCGCCGCCGCCGCCGCCGCCGCGCGCCCCCCGAGCGCGGCCGCCGCCGCTCCGCCGTGTGCTCCGCGAGGCAGCGCCGAGGCGCGCGGGCCATCCCGGGGGAGCGCGACGCGGGGCACGGCCGGGCCGGGGAGGGGCGGGCGGGCGCGCGGGGCGGGGCGCGGCGGCGGCGGCGGCGGCGGCGGCGGCGCGGGCGGGAGGAGGCCGCGCCGCCGGGCCCAGGCGCCGCTCTAGCCGCGCCGGCCCAGCCGAGCGCGCCGCGCCGCGCCCCCTCGCGCCCGCGCCGGGCCCGGCCGCGCCGCCATCTTCCGCGCGCCGCCCGCCGGCGCCCCTGGGCGCAGGGAAGGCCGGGCCCGGCGCGGGCGCGAACGGCGAGCGGCTCGGGCCCGGGGCCGCGGGGGCGGACGCCTCGGGGGTGGCGGGCGGGAGGCGGGCCAAGTCTGCGGCGTGCCGGCGCCCGCGGGGATCCCGGGGGCACAGCCTGGCACTGAGTGCCCGCAGACTCGGAGCCCCGGGGCGTGCCGGGTGGGCAGGCCTTGCCCACGGAATGAAACGCGCCTCGACCGAAAGGCCGGCACGCCGCCCCCTCCGCCCGCCCCACACCAGCGTGCAGGCTCTTTTCAGATCGATGTCGGGGACCGAGGCTGGAAATGAATCTGTGCGTCTACCACCGAAAAGGGTGTGTGTTTCTCAACACCGCTCTCGCTCCCCGGGCCTTCCCTGCCCTGCCCCCCCACGTCTCCTGTGAGAGACGTCAAGTAGGCTGGGAGGGTCATTCACTCTTACGTAAGAATTTAACAGCAGTGGGTTCTGTCGTCCTGCCAAATGCAGACCTCGCTGCCAGGGCGGAACGGGGTGAATCTGACTTATTCTGTCTGGTTCAACAAGTGCTTATCGGGAGCTTACCGTGTGCCAGGCATTTTGAAGGCACAAAAGTATAAAATTCAGAGTTTAAATCTGGGGGACGTATTTCGATGTTGCTTAAATGTGGAAATTCAATCATTCCTAAGTTCATTGAAAGTTGAATTGGGGGCCTACTGTGTGCAGGGTGCTGTAAAGGGTACACGCAGACATGGATCAAGTTAGGCATCCTGTACCCCAGATTCACACTCGGGGGGGGGGGTGGCGGATAGCACGGGAGTCAGGTATAATGCTACTGTGTGGGCAGGTGGTGAGAGAGAGGTTCAATTCTGTCTCCAACAGGTGCCACGTTGTGGGCTTGCCTTTGAATCATGCTCCTCCACACTTCTATCTTGTTCCAGGGTCCACTAATTCGGCTCACCTCTGAAAGGCTTGTGGCATCTTTCTTTTCCATTCCTACTAGCGAAAGCCTACTTTGTCCACCCATCCATCTATCCAACAAATGTGTCCCAAGGATCTACTATGTGACAGACACTGTTCTAGGCTCTTGGAATACAATGCTGAACAAAAGAAGCAAGATTAACAACCTCCTGGGGCTAACCGGCTAGTTCTGTGCCTTTCTCCTCACCTTCAGGCTACTCAGGCATTCTCTTAACTTCCTGGTTTTACCTTCTATAATCTCCCCTATATTCAGCTTCCAGACTGATTTTTTTCTTGATTAAAATTGTATCCTTTGGGGGTGCCTGGGTGGCTCAGTCGTTAAGCATCTGCCTTTGGCTCAGGTCATGATCCCAGGGTCCTGGAATCGAGCCCCACATCGGGCTCCCTGCTCAGTGGGAAGCCTGCTTCTCCCTTTCTCACTCCCCCTGCTTGTGTTCCCTCTCTCACTGTGTCTCTCTCTGTCAAATAAATAAATAAAATCTTTAAAAAAAAAAAAAGTGCATCCTTTGATCATGCATGCTATTCCATTGCTTAAAAAAAAAAAAATCCCTTCTGGTAATCTAGTACCCTATTTAATATTACCTTCCCTGTTCCTGAAGTGCTTCACGTCATCCATAACCTTTTCACAAGCAAGATTCCATAACCCCTAGTATCTGTGAATATGACCTTATTTGGAAACAGGGCTCTGCAGGCATAATCAAGTTAAAATGAGGTCATACTGGGATAAGCCTTAAATCCAATGTCTGGTATCTTTATAAGAGAAAGAACCAGGAGATTTGGAACCCCACACACAGAGAAGATAGCCATGTGAAGATGGAGGCAGAGATCAGAGTGATGGGAGCCAGAAGCCAAGAAATGCCAAGAATTTCCAGAAGCTCTGAGAAGGTAGAAAGAGGCAAGGAAGGATTCTTTCCTAGAGCCGTCAGAGGGAGCATAACTCTTCCAACACCTTGATTTTGGACTTGTAGCCTCCCAAACTAGAACAGAACAAATTTCTGTTGTATTAAACGGCGCAGTTTGTGGTAATTTGTTACAGCAGCCCTAAGAAACTAATAGAGGGATTAGTGTTTCTTTCCCTCTCCCCCTCCCCCAACCCTTCTCATTTTACGTCCTTACTCCTCTCATCTTAATTCTCTGCCATATCATGAAAGCCTTGAATGCCTGACTAAGAAGTTTCAACTCCAGGGGTGCCTGGGTGGCTTAGTCAGTTAAGCATCTGCCTTTGGTTCAGGTCAGGATCCCAGGATCCCAGGATCCCAGGATCGAGCCCTATTTGGGCTCCCTGCTCAGCGGGAAGTCTGCTTCTCCCTCTCCCTCTGGCCCTCCCCCTACTCCTGCTCTCTCTCTCAAAGAAATAAAATTTTGGGCGCCTGGGTGGCTCAGATGGTTAAGCCATCTGCCTTCGGCTCAGGTCATGATCTCAGGGTCTTGTGATCGAGTCCCGCATCGGGCTCCCTGTTCCTTGGGAACCTGCTTCTCCCTCTGCCTCTCTCTCTCGCTCTGTCTCTCATGAATAAATAAATAAAATCTTTTAATAAATAAATAAATAAATAAAATCTTTATTAAAAAAAGTTTCGATATGAGGAATTCTTAATCGCAGGAAACAAACTGAGGGTTGCTGGAGTGGGGGGTGGGGTGGGAGGGATGGGGTGACTGGGTGATAGACACTGGGGAGGGTATGTGCTCTGGTAAGCGCTGTGAATTGTGCAAGACTGTTGACTCTCAGATCTGTACCTCTGAAACAAATAATGCAATATATGTTAAGAAAAAAAAAAAAGAAGAAGGTAGCAGGAGGGGAAGAATGAAGCAGGGGAAATCGGAGGGGTAGACGAACCATGAGAGACGATGGACTCTGAAAAACAAACTGAGGGTTCTAGAGGGGAGGGGGGTGGGAGGATGGGTTAGCCTGGTGGTGGGTATTGAGGAGGGCACATTCTGCATGGAGCACTGGGTGTTATGCACAAACAATGAATCATGGAACACTACATCTAAAACTAATGATGTAATGTATGGGGATTAACATAAGAATAAAAAAAAAGTTTCAACTCTTTTTTTTTTAAGATTTTATTTATTTATTTGACAGGGAGAGACATAGTGAGAGAGGGAACACAAGCAGGGGGAGTGGGAGAGGGAGAAGCAGGCCTCCCGCGGAGCAGGGAGCATGATGCGGGGCTCGATCCCAGAACCCTGGGATTATGACCTGAGCCAAAGGCAGATGCTTAATGATTGAGCCACCCAGGCGCCCCTCAACTCTATTCTAAAGGCAGTGGGAATTGACCAAAGGTTTTTGGTTTGGAAGCTGGGGACTGACAGGTTCAGAGCATCCTGAGGAATGACTCAGAGTGCTGATGCAGTCATCTTGATGACAAGTGGTGATGGCTAGAACAGGAGGAACAGATGCGGGGCTTATTGTAGAGAGTGGAATGAATGACTTAGCAATCAATGGGATGTGAGGACTGGGGGAGGCAGAAGGCTAGTTGCTGACTAGGTCTAGAAAAATGATGGCCCACAACCCACCCAAATGGATGAGAAGAAGTCTTAAGGCAAGAGGGGGAATGATAGACAAGGTGCTGCCAGTTAAACAGCTCTCGGTGGCTCTTTGCTGAGTGGTCCTTCCTTCTGCTTTCCTTTCCCAGCCTTCTCCAACTTTAAAGGTCCATTTTAGCCCTCACCTCTTCTTTTTTTTTTTTTTTTAGTGTTTTATTTATTTATTCATGAGAGTCAGAGAGAGAGAGACGCAGAGGCAGAGGGAGAAGCAGGCTCCCCGCCTAGCAGGGAGCCCGATGCGGGACTCGATCCCAGGACCCTGGGATCATGACCCGAGCCGAAGGCAGACGCTTAACCATCTGAGCCACCCAGGCACCCAGCCCTCGCCTCTTCTAAGAAGGGTTTACTAAGCATTTATTCTTCAAAACAGTCTAGCCTTAATTCGCTTGGAATCATATCTTTTTAGAGTGAGAAAGTGCCTTTTTGGAGTCTTCTAGACCCTTCTACAACATCCCCCAAAGTGGCCATCCCTCTGCTTGAGTATGTTTGGTGGCAGAGTGCTCACTGCTGGGTGACTCTATGCCAACGTTATATCGTTAGAGAAGATCTCCATGAAGAATCAAATTTGCCTCTCTGTAAATCCCAACTGTTGACATGAGTGCTGTCTCCTAGAGCTTCACACTCAGAGTCAAACTCCTCTTGTACATGACAGCCCCTCAGATACTTGAAGGCGGCTCTCACGTCCGTGTCAAGACTTCTGGTCCTCGGAAAGTGCTATTGCGGTTATTGCTGTTGTATAACACATCCCCCGACCCCAATCTAGCAACCTGAAACAATTTGAGAAGGGCTTACCTGGGCAGTTCTGGCTCTGGTTCTATCACATGACTGCAGTCAGATGGTAGCTAGAGCGGGAACCGTGAGGGGGTTGGAACAGCTGGAACAGGCCAGGCTTCTCTCTGACTCTAAGTAGTCTCAAGGCTCCATCTCCATATGGTCTTTCTGCATGGGTAGGCTTGAGCTTGCTCACAGCATGGTGGCTGGGTTCCAAGAGTGAGCATTTCGAGAATACCAGTGCACGCTGTATCAGCTCTTATCTGACCTTACCTTAGAAGTCCTCTGGTGTCACTTCTGCCAGAGTCACACAGCTCTCCCAAATCCAAGGCAAGGACTATGGGGGAAATGCCAAAGTTAATACTTTAAGAAGATCATGTAAGGTGGGTGATATTTGCAGCCCTTTATGGAAAATGCAATCTGCCTAGTAACACCTTCTC